ACCCTGCCTCCCGGCGTATCCTGCCTCCCAGTCCAGCCCTCACACAACAGCCGCCGCCCACCTTGGGGCGCAGCGCCGCCACTCTCGCCTTGGTCTTCACCGGCATGAACTGCTCCACCTCCTCCCAGCTCTTCCAGGGCGCGTTGATCAGTACAGTGCCGCCGCGGCGCAGCCCGGCCAGCACGTCGTACCTGCGTGGTGGGCGGCCAAGCCAGTGAGCAAAGCCGAGTCGATGCAGGGCTGGCTTCCCTTCCTTCCATGATCGAGCCCTGCCCATCCACCCACCCACTGCCCCCCTCCACCCACATGCCCACTCACTTGGACCAGTACTGCTGCTGGTGCACTCCCACATAGTGGGCCATGTCCACCAGCCAGGGCGCCCGGATCTGCTTGGGCCCAAAACGCAGGTGGCTGACAGTCACGCCGCCGCTCTTATGAGCATCATAACTGAAGTACGCCTGCGGGATGGTGGGACAACACGGCACAGCCGGTTTTTGGCCGGTTTTCAGCCGCATTTTTCAGCGGGCATTCGTCGGACACCCACCCCTGCCCACCTGCGCGTTCATGCCCGGCTGGTTGGCGATGATCTTCACGGCCTCCTTGTTGGCGCCCACGGTGCCGTCGGAGCCCATGCCCCAGAACAGGCACTCGGTGATCTCGGGGGGCAGCACCTCGGGCTCGGCGTCGTAGGGCAGCGAGGAGAAGGTGACGTCGTCCACGATGCCCACCACAAAGCGGTCGCGCACATCCTCCACGCGGGGCGCCGCCAGGTTCTGGAACACGCCGATGGCCCTGCAGGCGGGGGCGGCGGGTGCCAGGGGAGGGAGACAAGAGAGGCAGGTGGGCGGGGAGCGGGTGAGGCGAGAAAGATCGAGCCCAGGGTTGATCCCAGGAGGGCGAGAGAGGTGGAAGGCGCGGATGTCAGCCAGCTGGCAGCGCCCCAGTCAGCACACACACGCCCAGGCTGTACGCCTCCGCCCCCATCCCAGCCGCCCGGGCGCTGCTCTTGCTCACATGGCAGGTGTGAAGTCCTTGGAGCCCAGGCCGTAGCGGCCGCCCACCACGCACTCCACCTGGCGGCGTGCGCGCTGCAGGGAGGAGGCCACCTCCAGCAGCAGCGGCTCGCCCTGGCTGCCGTGCTCCTTGGTGCGGTCCAGCACGCACACGCGCTTGGCGCTGGCCGGCAGCGCGGCCAGCAGGTGCTCAGGGGACCAGGGGCGGAACAGGTGCACCTGCGGCGGCGGGGACGGAGGTGGGGACGGCGCAGGCAAGGGCAGAGTTGGTTGGCAGGACAGGTGGCCAGCTGCAGGGCTGCCCGCGTGGGCGGCGCATGCCAGCCAGGTAGCCAGCGAGGCCGCGCCCGGCACGCCCCACAGCAGACCTGTCCCCTCCCTGTCCCTCCTGGGCAGCGGGGCCCGGTCCTGCCTCTCACCTTGAGCACGCCGACCTTGTGCCCGTCTCGGGTCAGGTTCTGCACCGCTGCCTCCAGCGCCTCGCACCCGCTGCCCATTGCCACCACCACATTCTCCGCCTCGGGGTGCCCCACATAGTCAAACAGGTGGTACTGGCGCCCAGTCACCGCGGCCACCTTGTCCATGGCGGCCTGCACGATGCCGGGCATGGCCTGCACAGGAGGAGGAGGAGGAGGGTGGCAGGAGGGAGAGGGGCGGGAGGCTCAGGGGCGGGACACGAGGCCTGGCAGCGCTGCAAATTTGGTGCCAGGCCTGCCCGGCTGCCCGCCGGGCAAGTGCTTGCATCCCGACCGACGAGCCGCGGCTGGTGCAGCCCCCGGCATGGCATCCCCAGCGGCGCGCACCACACCACATCCACACCAGCCAGGCGCACACCTTGTGGTAGGGGTTGGCTGCCTCGATGGCCTGCATGTACACGTCGGGGCCCTGCGCTGTGCCGCGCTGGGTGGGGTGGCTGGGGTTCATGGCGCGCGCGTGGTGCGCCGCGATGGCCGGAGCCAGCTCATCCATCAGCGGCTTCATCTGCTCGTCGCTGATCAGGTCGATCTGCAGCAGGCGTGTGGTGGTG